TTTTTTTTTTTTTTTTTTTTTAATTTTTTTTTTTCAACGTTTATTTATTTTTGGGACAGAGAGAGACAGAGCATGAATGGGGGAGGGGTAGAGAGAGAGGGAGACACAGAATCGGAAACAGGCTCCAGGCTCTGAGCCATCAGCCCAGAGCCTGACGCGGGGCTCGAACTCACAGACCGCGAGATCGTGACCTGGCTGAAGCTTAACCGACTGCGCCACCCAGGCGCCCCTAAATAGTTCTTTTTATAAAGAGAAGATAGCACCGTGTTTATCTCGGCACATTAAAATTTGAAGTTTGAAAAATAACTTCACATGTTTTGTTACTAAGATTCCTTATTTCCAAGGATAGGTGCCGTTACATGGTAATTTCTTGGAGTTGAAACCATCATATCAACAAAACTGATTTGCATGAGCTTGTGGTTTGATCATATAGATTATGTTACTTAAAGTTAGAAATTTATACTTTATTGCCTATTCAGTTGTGTGATTATTAAATATACTAGAGTTAATAAGCATTTCTTTACCTTTGGTATATATGCGAACTTACATACAGGACTTTTTAATCCCCCTCTCAATTATACAGTTTTCCGATTCAGAATGTGCCAAGAAGGCTTTGGAACAACTTAATGGATTTGAACTAGCAGGGAGGCCAATGAAAGTTGGTCATGTTACTGAACGTACTGATGCTTCCAGTGCTAGCTCATTTTTGGACAGTGATGAACTGGAAAGGACTGGAATTGACTTGGGAACAACTGGTCGTCTCCAATTAATGGCAAGACTCGCAGAGGGTAAGTTTTTCCTAGTGTTGTGAATGATTTATTGTTGGGATAATGAAAAAGGTAACCCACACAGACTGATAAGTGAAAAAATATTTTTCTTATTTTGGAGTCAAGCTTATTATCTATTCTTGAGTGGTGTATATAGTTCTATAGGTGAAGTTATTGCCTTAAAATTTCTAATGGAATCTACTTTATGGTGGTGCCTTTTGAGAACCATAGCATACATTATATGATTTTTTTTGCTTGCTGCTGCTTTTTTTTTTTTTTTTTTTTTTT